ATAAAGGTAAATGTATATACGGTTACTGAAATATCCTTTTTACGTTCGCATAGACACAGCATCCGCGACACGATGCATTTAACGGGATTGAAGGTCCATTTGTACCATCGAGACAGGTTCGTGTGGAACGAACGCGCGGATCAATAGTGTTTTATCGTTACTTCTAATTATTCATTAACGTGCACGCGGCAAAATCCGAAACGAGTGAACGCATCCCGCTCGACCAGCGCCCCTTTTGAAAAAAAAATAAATAAATAAATAAATAAAAAAAAAATTCACTCCGCGCAAACTTGCACGAGCCTCGCGTTCGATTCGTTGGCAGTGAATTTTCAAAGAAACTCGTTCGATCCTCCGTCCGGCGTTCACGCCGATGGAAAGTGGAAGTTAAACGGGGAAAAAATTTTGTATCGCGATCCGATAATTGGCTGCATGGAAGGAACTTTCTTGGTGTTTTACGAGTGATTCATATCGAACGGACGCTCCATTTCGTCCCCTTTCTACATCGCAGCTACGTTCAAAAAAGTAGAAAAATACGTCGAACGCGCGATTTCTTTCGTTATAACGATCAAAGTTGCAAAGCAACGATAAAAAAAAAGTATCAAAAGGATGCAATTTGAATAAATGCTTTCGTTCTACTCGAGTGTTTCGTGCACAGCTAGGATTTAAAATTCACTCGCTAGAATTTAAACAGCAGGGATGATTTAATTGATTAAATTAACAGTAAACGTATCGAGTGGCGTCCTTTAAAAATTTGATTTAAAATTCTGCATTCTGCCGTTCGTTTAACTCTCGTTAGAAAAGAAATCTAATTCCTTTTTACTTGCTATCCGTTTCTTGTTATTATTTTGCTGTACGAAATTGACAATTTTACCACTTTTCCTTTCCTTGATTACTTACGTCGCGCAAACAGAAGAAAAGGAAAGCATTGCACAGAATCAAAAAAGTTTTAAACCTTGAAATATATAATGACAATATAGCTTAGGATGAAGTTGACTGGTCACAAAATACGACTAACGACACTCGTCGGACAAAAACGAAATTATTTTCCGAATCCAGTCCAATCCAAGTGTCATCAACATGAATGACGGAACTTTTTATCGCCGAAAAAAGTTGATGTATCGCGAGTCGACGAGGATGGAGAAAATGCACGACGAGTATGTAAACGCGGATCGACGACGAGCTGTCCGAGCGCGAAGGACGAGCGCACGAGCGCCATTAACCGGCTCCGCAGCCGGAATTAGAAAGTTGGAATTAGAGCAGTTTCCGTCCCCGTGGCTGGCAAATCGCGCCGCGCAACTTCCCGCGGCGTTTTCCAACTTTATGCCGCGCCATTTGCTCGGAGTTGTAGCCGGCTCGAGAGTTCCACATACGTGGAACTCGTAAGCAAGCTGGTCCACCGAAAGGGATATCCTCCTTCGATTTATAAAGCGGACTGGACTGGGCTTTCTTTACACGCTGGATTTATCTCGGACACCGGGCACGAACACGGCTGTTCCAATTTGCGTTGGAATTAGTTTCGTTCCATTGTTTGACTCTCCCGTGAATGGGTATGTTTGCCTTGTTCCGGCTGACTCATTCGCAAACAGCGCGAGGAGAATCGCGAGCAACGCGACGCTAGACGCGGAGAGTTCCTTCCCTCTTGCGATTCGATTAAAACGGTAGGATAATGAGCGTTCTCGTGAAGGAGTGGGGGG